AAGTAAAAGCATTCCATTCGTATATATTTCATACATACCTAATTTACATATTAAAAAAATAAAGAGACTATAAGAACTTAAACAAATATCATATATTATAGGGTATATGATAACACATTTTCATTGACTTTCACTTTCAAGATTAAGTTATTAAGATATCGTCTTATATAGCCATTCACACGGTTACTATCCGCACCATTATGGTAAATAAATTAAAATCTTCAAATCGGCAGAAACAAAATTAAGATCACATACATATTGTAAATGAATAAATATCGAAGGCAACATACGAGCCTTTGTATACGTAATCTACTTGTAATTGCGATGTGTAGATTACTATGCATTTCCTGGCTCAGAATTCAACGCGAACCACAAGTCTACCATAACGAGGTATTAAAAGATGCATAAATTATTGTATACAAGGATAACATGTTAGAATAATATACTCAAAAACACAAGTGACAATATATTTACAAATTTAGGTATCGTTAAACATAAATAATAAATAGATAAAGGCTGAGAATAATTTTGCAATAAAATAACGATTATTAATAGGTTTATCTTATATATATATATATATATATATATACATGAAATATGTAAGTATAATAAATTATTTTACAATGTTTTATTTGATATAAATTATCATGTTTATATTTGACGATGCAATTTTGCTTGATAGCTTACGAAAAGTTTTATGTATACTTACCTAATCATTAATCATCTCATTATGAATATCATAAAACAACTGCTACTATTTTCTATAAAGTTTCTATATCATACGCAAACATTCGACTCGAACAGAAATTTCAGTCAAAATACTCTTAAAAGTACTTAGAGTCACCAGGAGTGCTATTGCTTACAATTGTGAACTACATTTGCCAATCAAGTTGTACAGATGCGCGTGTTTGAATTTTATTTACAGATAGAGCGTGATACATGCGATATGCCACTCATCATTACCATCTCCCCTTTATCACCACGATTTATATCTAAAGAAGATTCCCTCCTTGATTTAAGTCCCCAACTAGTCATCAAGATTCAAGTTGTACGATCAATGTGACCTTGAAGTATAGACTAAGTAATCCATTGTGAAATAGAAATTCGGATAATTGACAAATTAGCGATATGGCTCAAACTTATGTGTAATACCAGCTCTAGTTTTTACAACGTAATTTATTTGTTTATTTGTGAAGATAAAATACTGATTATTATTCAATCAATAATATTTATAAGAAATTTAGACAATGTTTGTGTAAAAATTAATAACAAAATGCAAATATACATGGTAATAAAAAAAATTCAAATTAACCTTTTTTTAAAAATAACGATTGTTAAATAATAATATAATGTTATAACAATACTATATTTAGATGATGTTGTTAATAAAAATAGATATTTAAAATTTTAAACTACATAGTATATAAATTTATGTATTGCAAAATTTTAATTAGGTTATTAATAGAATAATGTCTTATAATTTTAGTACATAAATTTATTTACAAATGTATATCAATAATGAATATTTTATATTTATAAATTATAAATAATAAATAATGGATTATATAATTATGATGCGAAATTATTAAATACGATAGAATTAATAAAATAGACTTTTTTTTATATAATGTAATTAAATTTTTTTATTTTATTTTAATTAACTTTAATATATGATATTAAATATTAACATTATATTTAATATTTAATTTAATTATATTTAATTTTAATTCTTTTTTTTATTTTTTACAACAATCAAATAAATTATATTAAATTTAATAAAATCGTAGATTTCGATTAACTAATTACTAAAAATATTCGTAGAAGTAAAATTATATTTACAGAACGATTTAATGTTTCCATAAATATAGCAATTTTGTTTTACATAATACAGAAATAGCTTGCTTAGCTATAACGAAAAAGTTTAAGTGCTAAAATTATAAGTAATTGAATATTGGATGCATTACTATGTGTTGTACAACAACTATTATAAGTAATGTATTCGTTAAAAAAAAATTATAGTAGTAAAAATTTAATAATATATAATTTATTATAGATTTCAATCAATTATATTTTATATATAAAAGTAAGTAATATATTTTACTAAGAATTAGAAATAAATTGACTAATTACATAAATTTCCAATTCAGCTTGTAATTGATTTAGAGTATATATAATATAATATAAAAAAAGTTTATCTATATAAGCCTGATTTATTAATTTTTATGAATCTATGTATTTATGAGTGACATAAATTATAAATTCCTCTCTAAAAGCTTTTTTATATACGGAACATATACTTTAAAAAACAAAAAAATATAAGTACGCCTTGTTTTGTCTTTTTGCTATATTGCTATACTAATTATAAAAAAAAACTACAATATCATGTGATGAAATTATTTTTTAAAAAGCCACAAATACAATTAACATGCATATCGCGTATTAAATTATTAATATTAAAAATTGTCTAATTTGAATTCTAAATAATATCTATGTTGGCTTTATATCAAGTAGGTTTCTGAACCACAGTTAAATACGTTAAAAACTTTAAATTCTATGTCATTAATAATTATAGGCTTAGACTAATCTGAAATTATAAATAAAAAACCTGTATTGTAATCATTAAATTGCGTACATTGTATAAATAATAATAATATAATATTTATTTTTTACATTCAATAATGCAAGCAGATAATGGAGAATTAATATTTTTAAATTATTTGCTATATAATATTAATTTAAAAGAGAAATTTGATGATTCAAATTAATATAAATTACAAAGTTTATTAATAAAAATTAGAACGTCTATACAATGAAGAATGTTTTTTATTACTTAAATTCTTTTAAATAATTACCTATAAACAGATATAAATTTTGTTCATTTCCATTGAAATTTTCAGTCAGTAAAATTGTATAGTATGTAAAAAATATAATATAATTCTTATAAATAGAAATGTAATTATTTAGAAATTATAAGTTTGTTATTCATAGAAGAAAAATTGACTTACTCGATGAACAGTGATAAATTATAGAAAGAACCGCGTTAACCAGGTAGATCGAATAAATCTAAGAGCAAATTTATTTAAATTTTGAATATAATATTTTTATACTAGTTCGTGAAATCCAAGTTACTTAATACTAAAATTCTTCCCAAGTAATTAAAGAGTTTTCATCATTCAAATATATTAATATATAATAATATTATAATTTTACATACTATAAGTATTTATAAATTTATAAATATAAAACTTAATATTATATTATAATAATATAAAGTATATATTTCGCTCTAAAGAAACGTGCTAAGTAGTACTATAAATTCTCACGCCTGAAATAATAATTTGTTTTTATTATATATTATTTAAAATATAGTTACAATAATAAAAATGTAATTTTATCTAAACCACTATTAGAAAATTACTTCACATAATTGGTTTATTAAATTGAAATGGAGCAAAAATTAAAGTTAAAAAAATATATTTCATTTATGATTATTCCCTATTAATATTAATTTTTGTTTATCATTCAAAGTTTGTATATTGTTATTTGTGATTAATTAGAAATGTTCAATAGATACTACTCGCTTGATCGTAATCGTCTTAATTCTAAAATTATTATTATTTCATATAAAGACCTTGTACATTTTCATTTTTCTTTTAGTGAATGATTAACTTTATGGCGACTGGATATTTCATTGGCAAATCGATTTTAATACTTAATATCGATGATAATAAAATACGTTATAATTTACTACCTAAAACACTGCTTATAAAATTAATGCGTAATGTAACAAGTTGTTATTTAATAAATTAATTTGCCCTTTCAAATAATAAATTAATGCAGTATATATAGGTTAGGAAGTGATTAGAGATGGTAAATAAATTTATTAAATATTTTTTATTATCGCTATTATTATGATTATGTAATATACGTTTTGTAATAGTATAAACTCAATCGTTATTATTACTCTTAGTGCAAATAGGTACTATTTATAAGTGATTTCAAGCTTAAATTTGCAGCTAGAATTAGATTGTGTAACAACAGAAATCACAAGATGCTCAAATAATATTGACAAAGTTAGTATTGATAAAGATATGGACGAGTCGAATCTCTGAATGACGAAAAAAAAAACGAAAACTTGACGAAGTAAATTTCGACGCGTACGAGAAACTCGAGCGCGTTCTTGGCATTTGCGTGTAAAAATTATCTTTTAGTTTTCCAATTCCTTTCCTCTTCTGAAAAGGCCGCATCAAGCTCGTTTTACTTATACGTGCATAAATTGCAGTTGGCCCTACCAGCCTCTGAACTCACCGGCATCCCCCCATCCTTTGCGAACGGGGCCACAAATGACTAAGAAGTTACTTAGTAGCACGCGCGCGCGCCTCTCTACCTTACTCCACTTCCTCCAACTACTTTAACTCACAATCAGACAAACAATGCGCCTGTCTTGTAAAACGGGGGCTGACAAGTCGTTGAGCCAAAGCGCTGCTGACAAGGGACTCCGGAGGAGGCGGACCGCGCGGCCCCGTCTGCCCACGCCAACGGGAAGCATCTCCAAAAAGCGCACTCCTGGCCGGCCCGTCGTGACAATGCCGAGTCGTATCTGCGGCAGGGTAGGGCAAGGCAGGACAGGGCAGGGCAGAGCAGGGCAGGGCAGCGCAGGGCAGGGCAGGGCGGGGGCCGGAGGGGGCGGATCAGGACAGAAGCCTCGGACAGCGGGGAGGCTAAGGGTCCCGGCAGGAGCGCCGGCGCTCATCGGCGCTCGACGGCCGCATCGGCGTCGGCTTCGGCGGCCGTTAGTCCGGCTCGGGCTCCTCCTGGGTGCGAGAGCCCGGTCTCGCGTATTTATAGACGGCGATGGTCGGCGCCCCGGCGTCGGCGCGCGCACCCAGTCTCCCCCCGGCGCTCGCCGCGGCCGCAGCACCACCGCCACGGGCCCCGGGCCCGGCAGTTGTAGCGGCGGCGCGAGGCCCGCAGCATCATGCCGCGATGCGTCCAAGCCGAGCCCCGGGAGCCAAGCTCCCCGACATCATGATCGGCGTACTGCTCCTGGTCCACGTCGCCGCGGAGCCGACGGTGAGTAGCGAGCCCCCGATCCGGTTTACGTAACAACTCGTCGTGGATGCCGTCGTGGATGCCGTCGTGGATGTCGTCGTGGATGCCGTTGTGGATTCCGTCGTGGATGCCGTTGCGGATGCCGTCGTGAATGACGTCGTGAATGCTGTCGCGGATGTCGTCGTGGATGCCGTGGTTGATGCCCTCGTGGATAACGTCTAGGGCCGAGCGAGGGCCTCGCGGCCACGAGGTTACGCCGCCAAGAGCTGCCGAGGCGACTCACCGGAAAGTCCGAATTCCGAATAAAAGTTGTCCTCCCCGGACCCGAGCCTCCGTCCTCGGCCCGCTCCTGCACCATACCTTCCCCTTCTTCCCTCCCGCCACACTCGCCCTCGTCGCCCTCATCGCCGACGCGCGCGCTCCCTCCCTTCTACCTCCGCCACCTCTCACTTCCCGTCCTTTCTCTCCTTCGCTCTCCTCCACACTCTGTCGATCCTTCCTTTCATGGTCCGTGTACAATTGCTTCCTTCTCTAATTAATAAAACCACTTGCGACCTGCGCTCGGGCCTTTTTCTATTATACATTTAAGTGCCACGCAAGAACAAACGCGCTCGTTTGCTTTTCATTTCGCTCCTTCCAAAGTTAACTACTAACCGGACGAACGTTCGAGCTGCCTTGTCCTGGGCTCGTACTCAAAGGACCAATAATCTGCTGCTTCCCAACAAAGTCTCAATCTCATAAGTATATATTCATTTTTCATATTTAATGCAACTCGTCATTGAGCATCTCGACATTTAATCAACACGAGTATCGCGTACAGGGAACAGTGTGACCAAGTTTAATATGTTTAATGCGAAATGAAAACCTAATGTTGACACGATGATACCATTGACTTGATAGACATGTTTTTATGCCGAATGTAGTTTTCACTACTATACTTGCCTTACACATATTTTCTCCGCTTATTTATTTACAGATTTCTTTTTTGTGTAAGGTTACACTTTTCTTAAATTTGGCTATACTTGGAAGAAAGATGATTAATTTTGGCAAATTAGTTCAATTTAACTTACGAAATCTATCCATATTTGTTGTTTCAAGATGTGTTATAAATACATACATATATATATATACATATATATATATATATATATATATATATATATATATATATGCATATATACATAAATTGCGTCTAAAACTAATCTGGCATGTAATGATCCGCGGTCGAAATATCCGAAAACAAGTGTGCGACAGAGAAGGAGGCCCTGTATAAATAGTTTTTCATTGCTCTTCAATTGCGAGCAAAGCAAACCCGGTTGTACAAAATGCCAATATAAAAATTTTAATTTGTTTTTTAATTATAAACTTAACGTAGATTACGACAGATGCAAAGATATAAAAAAAAAAAAATAATGAAAAAAAGAAAGAAAAAATAATACAACCTCCTTTAATACTTCTTTATTTTATTTGCGACTTGCCCTACATTAAACATACAAGCTATGTTTGTATCATATAAATATAAACTTTACAATCAGGCACGCTAATTTTTAACCCAGATAACGATAACGTAATTTGAAGAGAAAAAAAACAACAAGTGAGATAAATATTATTTTCAAAATAAAAACGGGGCTATCACAGTTTACGTGTTGGATAAATTCGGAGAAAATGTCAAATGGAATTTGGACTTGTAAGTGAAAGTCGAGAAAGAAAGATTTATGTGAACATGTCCATTTCAACATAATTAATAATGTCCAGGATATTAGTGTCCACCTGCTCGTGGCTATTTTTCAATCCAATTTTGGCACTTGGGAGCCCAAGTGAAGTTGGTAGGTGCCACGTGTACACATGCTACACAAGTGGAATATCAGTCACTCGATGTGTTTATCACTGTTCCCAATGGCTAGAGTAAAGGTACATGTGCGCCTTAGCTAGTAGATTTTTCTACAAAGTGCTCGAGACGATTTCGGTCGTCACTTTTGGTAGTCTTTGCTGCGACTGTGAGATTTTAACTTAGAAAAGGGAGCACACATGTGAAAACTTATGACGTGGCCGCAAATTATCCTGGAAATTGATGGGATTGAAAATGATCCGAAAATAAACATATTTAACAGAACCAGATGTAACTGGTCTACAGCACTGCTTGATGTATTAAACGATTAACAATTCGCCGAATGTTTTGCTATATTAGTCGAGTAAGTGAACTTTTCGTTGGTGTATTTGTGACGTATATTCACATTGAGCTGCTTATTGTCAATGATAATTTCTCTGTAATTGTCCGTTGTACAATTTTTAATGTTACTTCGGATTATACTCTTTAATGCAAATGCAATTTTGCGTACATTTTGAAAGGCACTGGGATTTTTATTCATATTGATTTCATTTTTTAAAGTAGCATGGACACCTTGTAATACTTTCTTATTGAGTAAATTCTTCTAATTTTTTTTTTTTTTTTTTTTTTTTTTTTTTTTGGTCATGACTGAAATGTAATCTGTAATTATTTTTATTTAAAAAAATATTTCGGTTCATGTAAAATCAGAGTTTATATCACATAACGTGTGTTGCTTGATACATTTTTATATTATGCTCAGACGATTATCAAACATTAAAAAAAGTTTTTCAAATTTCAAAAAAAAAAAAAAAAAAAAAAAAATAGAAATCAAGAAACATTAGCGACAGAATTATCACGATTTTATTTGTTATAATTATAACAATTTTTATTATACTTCAGTTAGTATTTCAATGAAATAAAAAATATAAATATATATATGAATTATGCTAATGAGATTAATCTTATTTTACATTTTGAATAATACTTGTATTCTTGATACATTGATATCTCAAAATGATAAATTTAAAGTGACACTCATCGTGCATTGGAATTAAGCAATATAATTTGTAATTTCATTATCACTTCTGTAATGAATGGTATAATTTATTTTGGTGAAAATTTTGGTGAAATAATTATTATTTTCACGAAGCCACTAAAATATTCTATATAGACCAAATTTATAGGAATAATGATAAGGACTAAGATAGCATTTGCCTTTGCCTTTTATGGAAACAACATGTACTGTTTGTTATAAAACATATTCTAAAACACGTGACAATGATTTTTTAGTCCTTTTATTAAAATATCAATAACATATAAAACATATTTTTTTAGCAAATGAAGAAATTAAATATGCTTCATTTAATTAATCATAACTAATACTAAAATCTTCTTAAATATTTAAATAAAATAAATTATTAAATAAACATTTTATTCTCGAGTAATGAAGCATTAAAAAAAACCTCTAAATTATTCTCTTAATGTGATATGATTGATTTTCAAAAATAAGAAGGAACTGTTGAATAAACATGTACGCATAAAATTTGCAGAATTACAAAGCCGTAAACATACTCGTGTTTGTAAAATTCTACAACATCCTGATTTTATATTAGTTATTAACTACTTTTATCCATTAAATTTAAATTTATGCCATTAATATTTATATTCCAATATTTTACTTTAATTCAGAATATCAAATAATTCTTCATCACTTCAAAACTCAATAATCATAGAATATTCTTTAAGTGAGTATAAAGTACTTCGTTTGATTCATAATATATTTGTTTTTGTATTAAACTATTTGTAAGTAATATGCTTATAATGTTCGATGAAATTAATGACAATTCTATTTATTTACCTACACAGATCATTTTGAAATATTCGCACACTCTGAAATACATAATGAGAATTAAAAATTTTTATCATTTTCATATGCTCGACAAAATTTAATTTTAATTAATATTTATAAATCTCGGGAAATGCCACGTTCAAGTGTTAGGGAATTATTAACTTTTTGGAATATATATTATGAATAATATTGATTAAAAAAACATACAAATTCATTAACTGATTTCCAATATGGAATTAGTAAGATATTTTGTGAAATATTAGAAATAGATTTAGTAATCTCCTTTTTCTCTAAGTTATAATTCTTTATAGGTCTTAGGAATATATTTATTAATGATTTTAACTTTCTTATTACGTCGTTATATTCTTAAACGATTTGTCAGACTATCAGAAATTTACTTTTTGGAAGAGATAAATATTGTCTAAATATTTAATTATATTTATTGAAGTACTTCTATTTATCCTGAATGATAAAATATTATTTTCAATTAAAATGCTATTAACCGATATATTAACAGTCGTATTAATAGCTATTTTAATGCTTATATGGAATCCAGTTTTATGAGAATATGACTTTGCCAACCCGTAAACTTGACATCTGTAATCTATTTTAAGTTAGCATAAAACCTTGTAAGTATTCCCGGCAATTTTTTGTTCTATTTGTAATTCTTTGCAGTTACTATCTTGTACATGTATGCTTAATATTGCATCGATCTTTTACTTTATGAATGTGAAAGGTTTCATTTATTTTATATTAAACTGTTTTTTATTGCTTTGTGAAATTCTTAATATATTTTAATAAGCTGTTTTTCATATTATGTCTTTAAGTTAATTAATTAATTATATAAGTCATCGTTATATCATTAAGATTATTAGAGCAATGTAATATTAACATTTTTGTTTTTATCATTGGTTTTTTTTTTAATATTATTATTAAATTTCACTTTTACCTTTTGAAAATAATGTAATTTAAACTACTTTATGTTCTAATAGGCATCACATAAGATAAATGCATCATTATTTAAATATGACTTTTTCTATAAATTAATTGAATTAGAAAATATTAATATCACATTTTGTATTATTTATGCCTCTTATATAATATCATTAGTTTTGTTAAATGGTGTTTTGATTTACTTTGGCCAAAATTAATATTTTTATTTATTCCTATATACTTTTATATATTCAATTCATATATAGTATTATTTAATTATTTCAATTATTTATTATTGTTATAAAACTCATAAATGCTCGATTAGTTAAAACGGAAGAATAATTATGTTTAAATAGATTAATAGAATAATTAAATTAAATAATTAAATATAATAGAATAATTAAAAAAATG